GGAACCGGCCAGCTGGACTGGGTTTGGTTTTAAGCATTTCAAGCCAGACTTGCACACTGAGCGATCTGCAGCCACACTCAGACTCATGAGTTTTAAAAAAATGAGTGCAGAACTTATTTCAGTTGATTTAAGTGATAAAATTCGGGATCTTAAACCAGAAACCCGTGGATGACACACTACTGCCCACGGAACGGAGAGTGAGAACCCTTGTTCCCTGAACACTGCCTCTGCACCTCACACGCACTCTCATTATATTATTAATTTTGAACTCTTAGCAATAGAAGCTTTTGAGAACTGGAAAAAAAAAATCAGTCTTTGTTCGTATCTGCTCTAGGGCTTATCTAAGCGTATTTAAAAACACTGGCACTTTTCAGGCCATGCTGGCGGGTCAGTTTGGCCGTGGCATTAACATCATTTTAACCAAGGGGAGCATAATTAACACAAGAGCAGCTTTGGAATCAAGATTTTTACACTTCTGACAGCTCAAAGTTGTTCAGTGGGAGCATGATCTGCGCACAGACATACTACCCTGCAAGGGCTTTGAGCAGGAGCAGAGGGTGGTGTTGGCGAAGCAGCTCCAACTGCCCTTTCGTGCTTTTATGCCACAGCAGACACAGGGCAGAAAGAGAAAAATCACTCATTTTCTTAGATTCCTGTTCTACCTGGAAAAAACCCTGTGACTTCATGTTTGAGTTTCATCCTTAACTGAGTTTCCAGGCCTTTTATTTATTTATTTTTAATCAATTCAGGCTGCTCTTTTCCCATTGTATTACAATGACAAATAAAAAGCAGCTTGAATAAGAACAAAAAGAGTATTACTTCTTAACTTTTCAATAATACATGAAATAAAACACAAATCAACTTCAAAGGCCACTTAGCAAATATTTGGTGAGTTTGAGATATTAAAAATCTATTTGAATAAGTCTAATGGCCAGCCCAGCTAAAAAGAAAACAAGACCATTCAGAGCGAGCAGGAAATGAAGTCAACTAGAGTTTTAAAATAAATCTGGCTCAAAAATTAAGCAAATGTTAAAATAAAACCATGTCTGGTTACACTAATTACATAAAAAGGAGTTAAATTACTCATTTCCTAGCTCCTTCTGCCAAGATCATCTTCTTCAAGGGAAATTAAATTTATTTTTTTTTCTTTTTTTTTTTCCTCCCTAAAGAACAAAAATGTTTCCTATGAAGATCGCCCCCTCCCTCAACAAGGAAGCTTCGTTTAGTGCTGAATCCCAATGAACATTTCTTGACCAAAAAACCCTACAAGCACATCAAACAAAAACCCGCAAGCACCCTTATCAATGTTGACATTTCTCACTATGTTAGACAATACTCACTATTTTCTTAAAATTTATCGGAGGTCCTCTAAAGGAAAGTAGCATTTAATTCCTGAACAAAGTCTAAACCTTGTAGTTCAGGTTGTGTGTCAAATTCTCTGCTCTCCTACATTTACTAATTAAAAAAAAAAACCCGAACAAAACCAAACAAAAAACCAAAAAAACTCCCCAAACAACAAAACAGTCAGTGTAGTTTGAAATTAATTGATTATTGAATACTGCAAGAATTACACCTCATACTTGGGGGGCATCACTGGAACACAGCTGTCCCTAACAAACCACTACAGCCAGATGTGCCAACCTCTGCACTGTGCATATCTCAGGACCCCATCCTACGTTACGCTGAGTTCCTGCGATTGCAAATGAAGTGGAAGGGCAGTCTTTGGAGACTCGGCAAGGCCATGACAGGATGCCTTCTGTTGGAGCCAATTATTCTGATGTAACAAAATTAAAGTTAATCCAAGAAATTCTTTAGCTGACTCATTTTTCAAGCCAAAACTGATCCTGCAAGCTTGTTTCACTCACTGAGCATGAAAAATAAAAGCAAATCTTTATTTCATCTGTCTAATCTGAGTTTATTTCTGACAGACACCAAGCATCCCTCGATCAAAGCTGCAAATCAATCAGTAGATGATAAGTCTGTATTACATTGACATTACACAACTACATTAAGCTACAGCAGACCAAGGAAACTCTATTCATACTGGACAGTCATTTTCCACTGTCACCTGTCACCTATTTTAATCAAAAATGAGTAGATAAAATATTTATCAGAGCTTAGTTTAAAAGATAACAGAGATTTTTATGTACATTTACGCACTATCTGCATTTGACTGTATCTGGCTTAGCAGTATCGGGAGGTTCCACAAGTCAGAGAACAATTTTGTCACCGCAATTTCAGTCACTCACTTTACCCCACACCATTAAGACCTAGGGAAAAGAAGTTTTCTTTTGTATGACTACATTTCAGTCTCCCCCAGAATACTGTAAAACATTAAATATGAGGTAGCATTAAAAAAATTCTGAAGTAATTATGCATCACTTCCTTCATCACTAGTAGTAACTGTGAACTTGCATAGAAACCTCAAGTTGGATATGCCTTTGGAAAGCACCCCCCTCCCCAAAAGCCCCCAGACACACACAACTTACAGAAAGGAACCAGTTCTTTTTAATGTTTACTGCAGCGGTTCTGAAATTAATATAAATGGATGTGTGACGTGCAAATGAGAGAGCCTGGAACTAATTCTGTTTTATAGAATACAAACCCTTCAGCAATTGGGGTACCTAATTATTTTGATGATAGGTGAAATTTTGCCTTGATCACACAGTACCCAGCTGCGAATCTGTTTTATAACAGAAAATTTCACAGCATGTAACTGGTCTTTAAAATTACGCTGTAAACATGCAAACACATGGCACCACTAAAGTAAGCATGTTTTAAAAAGCTTTTTCCTTTAAGCGTTTTTGAGAAGGGAGGAATGAAAAGGGAGAGAAGTGGAAGTGAGCAATGCTACAAATAGATTTTGTTTACTGTATAATGCTTTTAACAGATTTTTGATCTATGAAAAGCCTGACTACATTTATTCACAAAAGTTCACATTTTTAAAAAAAAACTAAACGAGATGGATTGAATTATTTCAGTCTTCTTGGGGATTAATCTAAAAGTTGTTTCCTCTTCATTGTTACTTACACTACAGCTGTGCTCAAACTCCTTTTCATTTAGAAAAAAAAAGTTTAAATTTTGAGTCTGTGCACACTATGGTTCCACATTCCAACAGCTTCCTCCTAGTCCTCTGCCAGCATCTGCTATTGAAGACTAGTTCCAATTTACAATAAACAGCTTTTCCAGACCAGAACACTTGAAATTCAGTCCTTCTTGACTGCTTTTCCCATTCAATCTCCCTATTCACCATTTCAAGGAGAAAACTGTTCTGCCAATTATTACACATCTGGAAAAAATGCATGTATAAGCTGAAATGCTCTCAGCAGAAAGTTTCAGCTTTCTGCATATGCTCACAGCAGGATTTTATGGGCCACTGACCAGGCCAAAGTCTAAGTTTTCCCATCTTTCTCCTCCCCCTCATTTCTGCCCACCCCCACCCCAACCCTCTAATTGGAAATCCATAGCAGGTGCAAGTTGTCTGCCATCTTTTCCTCCGCAAGAATCTTGAGCACTTTCTTCCTGATAAATATTAATCTTACAGAGTCCAGTTTTAACTCACTAAGCTCTCTGTGATAATTTAAATGCATCAGCTGTAATCGCTCTGCATAAATATATACATGTTTAAAATCCATCATTACCATTGACGCTTGTCTGTTGGTTGTTACAAGGCTAGATGCTCCATAATTTGAGTTCAGGCTTCCAATTGGCCCATTGTGGGATGGTCCCAGTAAACTATGGATGTCTCCATGGCCACCTGATAGGCTTGTTGAAGGCCCCACAGCATGATTCCGTAGGACGTGAATGGCGTCATCGAGTCTGTCCAGGCGATCCTCCATTCGAGACTGCTGTTGGGATGTAAGAGGGACAGTAACAGCCATTACTGAAAAAATCTGCGGGCTCCTCAGGCCGTAGCAGTTTCTACCTCGGAGATACTAAAGATAGAAGATGAAATGCGATATCAAAAGACTTGGAAAGCACCTACCAGCACTACAAACAAACAGGAAAAAGAAAAGGTATCTGGAGATTTTGCTCGAGATAGCATTCATTCCACAAATAGGTGGCAGCTTTTCAAGTGAAGCTTATTATAAGGTTAATGTTATTCAGCTTCTATGACATGGCATGAACAAGAAAAAAGGAAGTGCTATAAAACAAGCTATCTAATACAGGACGAGAAAGAATGATCAGAAAACCAGCCTCACCACACTGGTAACAATTAAGAGAGGCAGTGGCTTTTTGAGAACCTGTATTACAAAAAAACTGGACAAAACTTTAAGTTATTGTCTAAAATGGATCTTTAAACAGATTTGGTATTTCAGAAATAAAAGCGAGTTCTGTATGCTACTGCAGGAAAGTCTGTCTTAAAATTACTTTCCTTTAAAAAAAAAAAGACAAAAAAAAAAAAACCCCACAGCAAAACCAACTCTGACATTGCGGCTCTCTAGAAACTGAAATGGCAGAATGCTGGAGTCAAAAGATGGGTCACACGCTACACTACTTGAAGTTTTACATGGGAAATCTGAAGGAAGCATTAATGGAAACACAAAAAGGCACCATCTAAAGTGAAATAGTACCTCACAGACATCCTTTAAGAAGGACATTGCATCTTGCAAATGCTCGTGAAGTTGCTGTTCAACTCGATTTTTCTGGCAAAGTCAAGACAGAACAGGAAGCAAAGCACAGGTTAAGACTAATTTAAAAAAGAGGTGAGGAAACAGCTGATGTGCATGTCAGCAATAAATTGTTAGTCAAGTTAATGCAACAGAGATCTGATTATATTAAGATAAGAAAAGGCTAATATTTAACACTGCAGTTATGTTAGGATTCTAAGATGTATATATCAATTACATTTAAATGCAAAAATACTGAAGAAAAGAAAACTGATTCAGCTTAAATTTATTCTTGTTAGACAGAAAAAAAGAAATTACATCTGTGGAAACTAGAAATACTAACGGGTAATCAAAACCTCCTCTCAAACTTTCCCCCTTTTGTTCCCAACGCTGTATCAGACATTTAAGAAAGAAGTCAGTAACTTAAATCCTCTGCTCAATCTTCAAAAGAAAAAAAATTTACAACGCTGTAGATTATTTCCTGTGTGTTCTTCTGTGAAACGTTTCATTAATTAATAAAAGAACATTCCTCAATAACAAATAATAATTACAAATAAAATACATTAATACTTCAACGACAGCATCATGAAAACAAGGCTGAGAGACCATTTCAGGGAGAGAGGGAGAAGGACAAGGAAATGCGAAGGTATGAAGTCTTTATCTTTTCTCCAGACTGAACTTTAGATAAGAATTAGCTATGGATTTGTGAAAAGGTACCAGAATCTCACAACAGTGCTTTAGCACCAGCTGTCCTCAGCACAGAAGCCTGATGATGCCCAAGGAACAGATGGTGCAAGACACACCCTGCACGTCTTATATTGTTCGACTGAACAGGCCATTTGTTAGCAAAGAATTCATTTGTAATGCTATCCTACTGTTTCCTTTAATGATATGCGGGATTTATACCACACCAACTCTTCAACTCTTAAGTAAAAACAATTCTTACCAAGGAGTGTAGAGAGTTTTCATAGTTTGGAGATGAGGGGGCTTGTCCTCCACTCCTAGACCACTGACTGGCACCTGTCAAAATTGTCTAGGTTAACGCACAGATTTAGGCAGCAGAAGTGGGAAGCAGAGACGCAGTATTTCTCAACATAATTAACACCAACATACCCTGCATAAAGGTAAGTGAACACATGGGTATACAAAGGAGGACAAATTCCTTCATTCAGCCTTATTGAGGGATAATTTTTATATCCTGGCATCTGCGTGGTCAGACACATTACCAATGACAAAGCAGTGACATCTTCCAAGTACTTCAACATTAAAAAAGTGGACTAAACACAGACACACGCACACTGTATCCACAATACCTGCCTTCTGCCAGTGTCACCATAAAAAGATTACTGAATTCTTTCTTCTTCAGATTATGTTCAGTATACATAGGCATATCTTTAATAGTGTTAAAATACATAACAAAAATATTTAAAGAAATCAAATAGACACTAAATCAATAATAACTGGAAAACCATTTTTATGACACCTCTCTACTAAATAAGAAAACTTAAAACTAGATCTAAAAAGCTTTATCTTGTCTAGTTCTACACTATACCATTTTAGACAATAATACGTTCCAAGTTTAGAAGGGTGAAAATACAGCGAAGTTAGTCCCATTCGTTATTTCAGATATATTTAAGGCAAATTGGCAGCTGAAGAGTCATTGACTGTGCAACAAATCAAAAATTATTTTCATATTACCTATACACTGCAAATTCAAATACATACTCATTCTAATCTGACACAAATATACCCCATTACCATGTAAAATTTAGAAGTACTTAGATGTGAAATGCAGTAACAAATAAAGCAGTACTTTTAAAACAAAGCCTGAAGTAGTACGACATGTATTTTTCTCACCAACTAATAATGCATCTTTTATAAAGATACTACATGAAATTCTGTGTCCATTAGAGACAGCTTCCTTTCAGCCATACAAATGCAGTAATAAAGCAATTACATTAATAAATTATGGACATACAATCCAAAGCGGGTCATTAAAGGAAGAGCCTGTGGGCTTGTTCTTTCAATAACAGCCAGAGCTGTACATCTGGAAAACTGGGAAAAGGTTTAATAACATTACAGTTCCTTTGTTCAGAGAGCTGCAAGTAGTTACCTTTTAAAGCAAGGGTTTTATTTAACAAAAAAGAGTACAGCTTGCATAGCCATTAAAATACCTAAATATTTCCTTTCTAATTAAAAAAAAAACAAAAAAAACCCAAACCAACCGCCTCCAATTTCATAAAAGCCCAGAGCTGCCATAACTGTGCTGGAAATCTCTTTTAAAATATAACAACATCAGTGAGTAAGTTTATAATTACCGATTTTCACTTCACACAGCTACTCTGGGTCTGGATCTGTCCTCTCCCTCTGCATTACTGTCATTCCTGAACTGGGGAATAATGCTTGGAGTCCCACTTATTTTTGCAACGCATTAATGAAACAACTGTAGAATATTTTGGCTCAACGTAAGGTTCAAATTTTTATCTGGTCAAAACTCCGTTTTTAGAGACAAGACCATAGTCAAAGCTTTGATGAGTGCCCACTACTAACAGGACTGCGTGCACCACTTCCTAGAATAAAGTACCAGCTGAATATTAAGCAGAAAGGCAACCAGTTAAGAGAAGAAAACAAACAGACTCAATGCCTGTGCATCTAGTCTGATGAGTTTGGGGTTTTTTTTAAATGGAAAAAGGTACTATTTCCTTAATGTAATCCCAGAACAAAACTCCGAGTGGGACTTCACACAAAGGAAACAAAAAGAAAAGGGAGGAGGGAACATACAGCTCCCCACTGCAACCTGCAGTTTCTAATCACACCTCTAGTAATGCTCCTGCTCTTTCTGGGTGGTGGCATACTGTCTCCATGTCTGCGCAGGTTGCCAGATGGCACCGATTTCCTGCCTTCTCATTCCACTCCCCCTCCTAGAAGTTTGTGCATGAAATCCACCAATTATGTTAAAAAGCATCCTGGCACCACAAGCCCTGCAATTAACAACTGCAGCTTTTAGTGCAGCACCAACATAGCAGCATGAAAAAACAAATAAGCCAGGCAAGTGTTAGGATTTACAGGGGTCAGCGATAGTAATCACTGGAGTGTTGTTCTTACTCTCGGAGTCTCCCCACCACTAATCCCCTGGCTCCCCTTTCAAACACACACTGGCACTGGAGTCGGCAGAGGGCTGCTCTTGCATCCTCAGAACCAACCGAACCCTTCTGAATACCTCTGATCCTGGGAGGAGGATTCCTAAAATACTTCACCATTCAGATCCCACCATTCAGATCCTTATATAAACCTCACGTACATACACACAGTCACTGAAACTATGCAAGAAGCTAAGCTCTGGGCATGTTTATGCAAAATTGGAAATTAAATGAGGGCAAGGAAGATGAGACACACGCTTTTGTCTGATAATACTGGGGGGTTTTAATCATGGTGTTCTCAAAGCTTTTACTTTAAAAAAAAAAAAGTTGTTAGTCCTTATTCAGTAACATAACAGGCAAATAGTCAAACAAGAGCTTATATACTTAAGTGTCTCGTGAAGTTACTGTCTCTCAATCCTTTAAATGGCAAATAGAGTGCTCCTACTGTAATTTACAATTACAGGACAGAAAAATTACAACTTAGTCAAATCTATAATAAGAGGAATGCTAAATAAACAAAGAACTAACTGCAAAAGAGGAAAATCATGATGAAGGCTAAAATGCTCCAAAATATATTATTTTAGTATACATAAAACATTTGTTTTATCTGCAATAACTTTTTGGGTCAGGACAGAAAATGGCTACCAGGAGTATAAACAGCAATAAATATAGTAGTAATTACTTTACATTGTGCTTCACTGTGTTCCTAGTGACTCATCTGGGAATAAAGATAAAAGTCCAGATTCATAAATGAAGGTAATTAACTACTGGAGCAATTTACCAAAGGCTTGATAAATTCTGTATCACTGGAATTAAAAGCGGTGGGGTGGGAGGGTGTAATTGTAGAGCAGATGCTAAGAAGGATTTCAGTATTATTTGCTGCTATCTATTACTGTCTTAGCCATCAGAATCCAGAATAAGGAACACAAATCAAAGTGCAAATTTTGGAGAGTTTTACATTTGATACAGGTTCCAGCAGACAAGGGAATCAACAGCAAAGGGAATACTGAAATTTTAGGGATCTCAAATTCGTATTCTAAAACCAGAAATTACCTGGCGCTTTCATGCTTACAAAATTAGATGTGGTATCTAATCAGGGAACTCCAACTGGGATCTTTAAAATTTTAAATACTTTGAAGTGTCAAAACTTTTTTCTTCCAGCCACAGAGCTCTTTTCAATATTTGCTTTGATGTTAAAATGAAAATAATAATTTTCTGCTCTGATCAGCCTCTCCAGTACAACAAGGATACACAAAACATTTTTTTGTCAACTGTGATCACTAAATCAAAAATCCTATTAATCACATTGTTACTCAATTCAACATGGATCTTTCATTTATAGAAACCAAAATGCTCAAAGCAGCTGCTCAGGTATGCCGTGTCAGATATTCATGAATCCATTAAGTCCACAGAAAACCAGAAGAGTGCCCATTAAACATGAGTGAAGTACGAATAATGGAAGTTTTTCTGAGTGACACTGCATACAGAGATCTGCATATTCACATACATACGTATATGACTGCATTTTGCACGCAATAACTTTACTAGTTCATTCCTCTAGGTTACAAGTGTTCAGCTAAGATCATTCTGTACACCTTTCACTATGAGTTTTTTTTGGTTTTTTTTAGAAAAAACAAAACACTTGCAAAAAAGTGACCAACAGCCAGGACTCTGCGAGGATATATTAAACAACAGAGAATGGGAGAACAGGCTGTTGTACAAATGTTAAATCAACTAACAAACTGCACTGTAGGAGAGAACAGGGTTAAAGTTACATCATCTCACTTGTAATTCTAGTTCTTTGTTAAACAACAAATTTAAGTCAATGGAGCTTTCACAGTCCTCTCTATATGGAGAACAGCTGTTCAACTTTCACCAGACAGCTGAGGCCACAGTGTCTTGTGAAAGCTGCACTACCCACTAATAGCTGGAGGCAGCTGCCCACAGTTCATCTCCACGCTGGAATGCTTCTTTCCACATTCACACTACAAACACACAAAGCACAGGTGACAGAGGTGGCTGCAATACAGAGCATTTATTTTGAAAAATGCCAGAAATTCTTCTCCCATAGAATGAAAGCATTCATGAAAGATATGAATGAAAAGCTATCCTGTGCAAAAATTGGATAGTCTCCTAGCCTACTAGATATTCATTAGAGGGAACATACATCTGCTGTGTTTGTCACTGAAAGCTGCTGCAGAGTTTTAACACACAGATTAAAAAAAAAACCCCAAATCACTCTTATTTCTCTCCAATGGTACAGATCTATACAGATATCTTCATAACTGTAACAGTATATGGTCATTCAATGCTTTCAAACATTATTTTAGTAAGTCAATTTTCAGAGCCAGTTGCCAGGATTTAAGCTCGTAACTAAGAAGGTGGATTTATAAATTTGGAGTTAGTACAATAGAAAAACACAACAAAACAAAACACAGAAGAAATTATGCAAGGAAGCTACTGCTGATTTCACTGTGATTCCAAACAGGATGTTTTCAGAACAACAAACAAGTTATTGACAAATGGCTAGTCTCTACCTGTAAGAGGTGATGGTGATCCAACTGGTGTTGATGGATTCGATGGAAAACTACTGCTGGTATGATCAGGAGAATAAATCTAACAACAGACAAAAGAGATTGTATATCAATACATGTCACAATACACAGAAAAAAAATAGCTATTAGGACTCATTTTCATGCTTTTCATTGTCACTCTTGATGCTGGATTGATAAAAAAACCAACCCAATTTGATCCTTCAGTCACAGCTCTGCTTTATTACACGCAAAGCTCTAAAAATGTCCAGAGAACTTTCATTTTCAAGCAGCTGTAAAAATAAGCACAGCCTGTATTTGATAGCGACCCAAGTGTAACTGATCTTTCTTCTTTAAGAGCAGCAGAAATGACAGTCTTTTTATCACTGAAGGGGAACAATACACCTATGAGTTAACAGGACACCCATAATTGTAACAAACAAAACTTCATGAAAATGCAGAGAAATAACAACTTCCCAAACTTCAGAGACAGAAAGGATTTTAGCAGACAACACACATTATCTTCTAAAAATTAACCCTTCACAAGACAAAACACCAAGAAAGCATTCAGCTCTAGTTACTATTGGTACCTACCAAACGAAAACCATCTGAAATTTTGTTGCTCTTGGTATACAGTGCAGCACATATAATTTTTCTCTCTTATTTCTATTATCAGTTGCTCCCTTAAGATACTAAATGTCAACTTACAACAATTCATTCCTTGCTATTAATGTAATTACGAAGTCTTGATAAAAACAGAAGACATTATGTTTAAAGCTTTAATTAAAACCTGAAAATTTCAAGATTCTTGGAAAATTCATTTTGTGAAGGGAACTGAATAGGCTTAGAGACTGACTATGGACTTTAGAACATATTTTTATAGGTCATCAGTTCAAACCTGTTGTATTTGAGCAGAGACCAGGATTTGTTACTCATCAGATGGCAGTTAAAAGAAAATCTTCACTGGCAGTGTGCTGGATGTCTCTTCACACAGACAATATGATATTTCAGCATTTAGCTGACAATAAACTGGGACTTGGTTAAGTTGCATATTGTATTTTTTGAACTGATAAAACCAGGACCCAATAGACCACATGCTCCTTCCTGGTCTATCATACTTTTTAATTACAAAAGATCATCTGTTCCCTAATGGAAATACCTCCTCCCTTTCATACATACCAGAAAGAAAATATATTTAAAGGAACAAACTACCTCAGACCGCTGTAGGAAATTCAGGCACTGTACATCAGTACAAAAATGAATCTTGGGTATCAGTATGGGAATTGTGCAGAGTTCCAGACAAACAAGATACAGAAAAATAAAATGATGTCAGAACAAAGGCCATGAAGTTTCCCTTGAAACTGGTTGCTTTCCACCACTCTACCTGCCGATTTTATTTTGCCATATTTAGATAAGAGGGAAAACCTACATTATACCAAAGCCAGAACTACACCACGAGGTCAGAATTCATTCTGCATGCAGTCCCTGGCCACTGTGCTGTTAAATGACCAATGATGAACAACCCTGACACCTTCTGCCAGGCTTAAACGGTAACATGACTCATTTTACTGCAACAAATGAGACTCCTCCTCCTATCAGTCATGGTCCATTCCAATCAGCGGGGTACCAATATGCCAGGGTCTCATGAAAAGGTTCTCAGACAAAAGCTGCACAATTGAGAGCCTGCAGAGGCAAACCTCAGAGCTGTTAGTCCAATTTTTTAAACACTACAGTGTACATTTCAGTTAGGCTTTGTTATGTTAATGTTATTGAGTCTAAAGCAACAAAGAAACTTAATTCATGAATTACTTTTAGAAGTCAACTTCCCTACATTCTCTTTTCTTTTGTGAGCAGACCGGTGGCTACTACAGAGACGGTACAAAGGCCTTTACCCTAGTCCTGAGGTAGGAATCAAAACATAAGTTATCACAAAGAGGTCTGATATAATCAACAAAGTTAAACAGCCCTCCTGTTTGATCTCCTCTAAATTAAAGACCAAGTGTTTTGATTTGGCATTAGGCAATGAAATAAACCAGATGTTTCTCCTGCCATATAACCCTCCATGGGCACAATCTTAAAGGGTTATTGTTTGGCAAATGTTCAGGGAAACATTAGAAATGGCACGAATACCCAGATTTTCTTTTCTTTCTATCTATACTAGTTCATTATCCAAACTAATGCATAATCCACAGGGCTTTGGGAACTTTGTGTAAATACTTTCATGTACAATTCTCTTTCTTTCCTACCCTGAGATTAAGACCACAATTATCCAGGCTTAAACCTAAAATAAAAGAACCTTTGCAAATGTATTATCTGGCCTTACATGTTTAATCACATACTATTCTGTATGGTCTTTAATACCTAAACTGAAGAACATATGTCGTATCCTCTGATGTTTCGCACATGAAAGGCCTATTGTGAGATGTACATCAACAGAATTTTAGAACTAGAAATTCCTCTCAACAGTTGCAGCAGCAGCATTTAAAATCCCAACAGAACGGCACAGAGCGTCATCTCAACAAAAAAAGTCAAGGCAATTGCAGTATTTACATAAAACTTTGTTCAAACAGAAAAATATTCTTGGTTTACTTGTCATCAAAATTCATGTGCACCAGCTTCACCTGCAGGAGACACCTCCCTCCTCCCCAGACCGCGAGCGGGGCTCCTTGCTGAACAAGCGCAAGCAGAGCGCTGGGTGCGCGCGTGCTGCAGGGCGCGGGGGAAGCAGATGGATGAGGCGAGGGATTTGAAGTGTGCAGACTATGGCATGCACTGATAGAGCAGATGGAATGCATCACCATCAGCTATGACAGAAATGATTTATGGAATGACCTGGCTGCTCCTGCCAAGCAACAACACGGGATGACAGAAACAAGTTTCTATGACAACCAGAGCCCACCCACCAGTTAGATTAAACATTTCTGCCCTGACTTCCACTCGCAATGTATTTAGAGTTTTTCCTCAAAACATCAGCCTGGGTTTTTCAGCTAGTGACTTGGGCAAAAATACCTGAAAGGATGAGAAAATAATTTTAAAAAGGAGAGCAGTGGAAAATGTCATGAAGTCCCACAGGCCTAACTGGCCAGCGTGTCAGACTTAACAACAGGAATTTTGGTCAGGCTGCAGAACAGCAGAGGTCCTAATACATCTGCAGAGTAACAGCGCAAACTATGTAAGCATCGCTATTTCTAGGAGTCAAAACGATCCCAGCTCTTTTCTGACAGGTCTCAGACAAAAAGAGAGTGTTAACTGCCCTCTGGACTTGTGAAATGTTATCTGCTTGCTGAATCCCCCAAAGCACCAGGGACAACATTTTTCTCCTCAAAGCTAGTAGGTCAGAGTTCTCCTACCCAATATGGACATTACAGACATTATCAGATCTGGTAATCCTTTAGCATATGACCCTCTGGAGGATGGAAGGGTAGCAGGATCTGCATGAATACGCACATTTGCATTCAGTGGTTTGAGGTGAGGGATGAAGAATCTAACCCAGGAATAGTCTTTTGGGGCTGCAAAGTAGTCACTTCTATCTTGGACAGACTTAGTCTCCCTACTTGCCACGTACAAGAAATACAAAGTGCTCCCCCAGCCACCACTCCTAACTCTGAAATTTTTGCTATACTGTATCAATTCTGTTTTAACAAGAATTACGTCTGATTGTATTAATGCAAAAATAATTGCTGCATGCATATGTAAACAGAGCTTTTAGGAGACTGACGACACTTGCAATGTTTTACAATACCTACGTTATTCCAACAAGAGTTAAGAGAATTAACTCTATGCATATACAGCATTTTAAAGGCTGTTCCATAAATTAGATCTATACAACACACCATTCAAAACCTCTCAGTTTTATAAGGCCACTGAGAAAACATGTTAAACCTTGAGGCAGGATCTGCTCTAAGAGTAATGTTAAAAATATTTTACTTTAAATACAACACTACAGAAAAAAAAATAAAAATCAAATCCCAAACTTTTTATCTTTGTCTGAACAACCTTCTGTATCTGCCCTAAATTTTTCCATCACCCGAAACGAATGAATCTTCCACAAACAAAAGCGTATTCCACTTGCTTTAATAGACATTTGTCTAGTATGTGACATAGTATCATAGCACATTATTTTAACTTCATACATGAAAACTCCTGATTTGATATTATAAAACGAATGAACACATAAATAATGGATGCAATGATAAAAATAAGTATTTCAGATCTGAATATTCTAACTGCTACTTACAGATGCCAGTGCCTTTCCAAGTGCATCACCTGTCTGTGAGCTTCCAGCACCATTTCCTCTGTTTCCTGTAATGTGGAAAGCAAAACCAACACTTATTTTTAAAGCCAAAATTTTATTTACTTTTATTATTTTATTCATCACGTACAGTTGAACAACCACTTTTAAAATGGATATTCTGAGGAAGTCAGTGTCAACAGAATCAGTTCTCATTATACTTAAAAATTTAATTAAAACAATTAGATTTAAATTTGGATGCTCTCCTCTTTAAAGTCAAACACACTATCACTGTGATGACTTAAGGACCAACAAGTGAAAGCACTTAGAAAAAAGACTGAAATTATTTTCTAGGATCACAGTTTAATTTTAATGAAATGTAAAAAGAAAATAAAAATCAGAAAATTATATTATTGCAGATTATTTCTAAACTGGTACCACTAAAGTGCTGCAAGTTGCAGTAATTCTTAAAGCCAAATTCTTGTGTGTGTCCTTGCTCCTCCTGCTCTAATTCCCTGTGTTGTACTCTCATATTTTAGAAAATCCCTGAAAAGCTCTTATGCACCAAGCTTTCTGACACTCCTGCTCTTAGCTGCATGTCAGCAGCTTTGCACGCCCTTTTGTTCCACACACCATCAAGCCACGAGGACGTCTGAAGCCCTGCCAATTGGAAACACAGGAAGGACCTGAATGCCCTGGAATACCTGCTTTACTGTAGAAGACAGACCCTCTAAAGTGAACCTCCTTTCTCCAGTTATCAACTTCTAATGCCAAAAAAATGGTATTTAATGTGAATGTAAGTCATTCACATCAGAAACCCAAACCATGCAACACTTGCTGTTTCAAGCTGTAGCAAACTTGGATTTTTTCAGCCTGCATTTCCCAGGCAGACTCACTAACTGGGTTGTGTTTAAAGATCTGAGTGTAAAACATGTTCCCAAATCAAAGCCAATATAGTCACTCTAACTAAATTCTGCTTACTTAAAATGAAACTAAGTACAAATTATATCGAACTGACAAGGGGCATCTACAAGCATTTAATTTCTACAGCTGTATCTTAAGATGTGCAAATACGTGCACGGAACAGATGATCATCCTGTATTTCACGCTTTCTAGGTAAAAGACTAACCAAGCCACCATACTGGCTACTCCCTAATCTCTGAATCAGTTAAGAGAGGAATTTACGATGCAGTTTATCAAGCTCCCCAAAGAAACAGTCTTCCTGCCTTTCTCCCGCACAGTACCTTGATGATTCAGCAGCTCTGAAAACTGCAACACCAGAACTACATCTGTATGAAGGTGGACACATACTAAACTATGGAAGGGTAACTGCGGTTAAGTTAGATGGATTTAGGCTTGGTTGTGAAAGGAAATAAATCAGTAAGTCTTAAGCTGATTGCAAAACAATTTGCCTCATCTCAGCCATACTGAGGACAGAAATGTCACAGCGGTGCGGTATTCCTGATCTACAAGCATCTCATAAATTAAATCTAACTAATTTTGTGCATCATGCAGCCCTAAATTTCATTTTCGTGTAAAGTTAAAAAAAAAAAAAACAAAAACAAAAACAGGAAGAACTTTTTTACCCAGAATATTATCTGATCCATTGACAGGTGGAGTGTGTGAGGCACCTACATACGGTGAACTGCTGGTACTGCCACGATGGAAGCTAGACATTGGAGGAAGACTGGCATTTATATCTGTAGGTGAGACTGAATGCGGGGGATAGCTCTAGAGAAAGAGAGACAGAAAACATTAAGTGGTCTTTAAATAAATGTTGATATTTTAAGACACCAAATATGCAACACCCAGCTCTTTATTAAAGAAAGGGACTCATTCATCCTCTGAACAGAGCATTATACAGCTATGGATTTTTATCTGTACAACAGACATAAATAAAAGGACATAAATCTAATACAGTAAGTTTGTGATTTCTGACAACTGTGTTTTTAACTGACATACACGAGCAGCAAACAAGAAATGAATTCTTGTAAGTCAGATCTCCCTATACAAGTACAAACACATTAATCTGCGCTGCATCTTACCAAACGGTCATGTGTGTGCAGGCTGCCATAACTGCCGGACTGGGACATGTGGGAAGAGGAACCTCCCAGCATCCCACCGTAGCCAGGCTGGCTCATGCCATTGGATGAACTCCAGAGGTCAGAAGAATTGTGGGTCCCATCTTTTTTAAAAAAAAAATTTAATAAAAAAAGAAGAAAAATACATTTAATGAAGCAGAGTATTGAGTCCTACTTTCCTTTACAAAATTATTTAAAATAATACAGAATTCAGCTACTCAGACTAACATCAGCAGGGAAATTTTGACCACTTTATATGGTATCTTCTATTTTCATGGCACCACACTGTTGCTATATTTATTAAAAAAAAAACACAAAAAACAAGCAAACAAAAAAAAAAAAACAAAAACAAAAACACAAACCAACAGAGGCTTTATAGCTGAAATGCAATCCAACCACAGCTGAGAAAATACCAAGTATTTCTGCTAATTACACAGACCTTCAGTAAGGCCAGATTTATACCAAGAGGATTGATAAAAATTCCAGATCGAAAGAAATAATAAAAAAGGGGGTGGAGGAGAGAGAAGTTTGGATAAGCGGAGCTCATCATAAACATACAGTGTGAAACATCTATTAACCTAAAATATGCAATTTATAAACCAGAATACTTTAGTACCATAAAAATATTTTAAAAATTAATGATAGCAGATCTAACTAACTGAAATGACATTACATAAGCCTTAAACCCATGTCTCAATGCAGTTTTACTTCTATAGCACAAACTGAAGGGCTCTGTAAATTCCCGTACCCAGAGACTATGCTTTCAGTATGCTCCAAAACCTCATCATACTACAGTACGAGCTAATTGTATGACGTGAGGCTGAGGAAATGAATTCTGCTCTCGTTTTGTTCAATGCAACCCCCCATTTTGGCATGCTGGATATACAAGCATTTGAGAACTTAAGACTGTTAGCTGATATTGTACAGTCAAATTCCAGAACAGTCAAGAAGCCCTCACCTCATTTTTCTCTATCACTCCAGTGTGCTGCTCTGAAGCCCCTACAAATCAAAGGATGGGGGATTCTGTCCATCTGGCCTGGTGTATAATCCCCTTAAATTTCAGTCAGCAATTAAAGTCACGAGAAAAACTTTAAATCAACAGACAGCTCCCTTCATCTAACTGTTTTAAAAGTATATAAAACTTAATCATAGGCTCTAGCACAATATGTTACCTTTACACCTCCTCATTCATTCAAGTACAATAGTGGCTGACTGCAGATTTCTGCCCAAGGACAAGGGACACCTACCCATATATCTGAAGTCCTTTTACCCACCTTGCATAAAGAAAGTGCTAGCAAACATACTGCTTGGTGGCTTAGGAGACGGGTAACTTGGAGATTCTCTGTTGAAATCATCAGAACTCGGGGATGGTGCATACACCTAAATATTGGAGAGCAATAAAAGCAGGTTAGTAATATTTGGGTGTCACGCATTAAAAAACCCATAACAGCATACAGACACAAACAGAAAGCACAAATAAAAAAAGAACAGTGTAGCAAGCTGCAGCATTTGTTGCCCTTGTTTTATTTGCTTTTTAGCAAGTTGCCACAGTACAGAGGAACTACAGTAGAATGATCCTAACAACACACTTTCTGGTGTGCCAACTCAGCCAGGTGGCCTGATAAAAGCTTGAATGCTGATTTTGCTTTGTAAGTGCATGACTCGCACAGACTTGTTGCTTAAGATAAAAAAAAGCAAGATAAAACAACTGGGTCCCAAACAAATTTTATTTTAAAACAACTGTATGCCTGTTTGAATACTTAATTAGCTGGCATCCCAACAATCAGAAAGAAAAAGAACATCGAGTGACAAATGGCAAGATTCTAAAGCACCCATTGTATCATCCACTCAGAAGCTTGCACGCCTGTGTACAGTCCTCAAAAACACACGCAGCGCAAGTTCTGAGGAACAACCTCAGAACTGCAACATCAAGCAAACGATTTTCACACTGGCCTAGCACTAAAGAAAACCAGCATAATTCTTTTTTTCAGTGCAACACCACATTGGAATGACCATTCTCAACTTGCAAACAACAAATTTTCTTAACACGTGAAAAATTTTAAGCTGCCAAATAAACGTAATGATTAGAAGTCTTTCACTGCAGTGACTCTAAGAAGAAATATAAAGCATGCTCAGGAAAAAGTCAGTCCAATCAACAAAGCCAGTATTCACAGACTCAAGGACTCTACCCACGATGTTAGCTGTTCTAAGCAATGCTATCTCTTCGTAACAGTATTTTGGTCAATAGACTGAATATTGCAATATGACTGGGGTATGTTAGAAGTATTTGTTTGAATTAACAAATATGGCAGCAAAGAATATCAAAATGTAACACTGACACCAAAGCACCTTTTTGTTACAAAGTAAAAAACGTGTTTTTGTTTTTTAATCATTCACCTTACTTGTGAATACATAAGGCTTCAAAAACACATATATTAAGAATAATTTTAAAACTTTAAAGCTCACATAATGCAGCTTAAGAAGTGCACTATGCCCTAAAATTCGAAAGTTAGTATTTTTATCCCTTCCTGTGCAAACAGAAGCACACGCATATTTCTACAACATTCACGTCGCTCCCTTGTCCTTCTGCGATGTTGTTTACCAAGCAAAAGAAGGGCCAGCAAAACCAAGCCGGCCAACAAAAAAAAGCCTAAGTTCCCTAAAAGAGAGCCATTGTTCTCCCGGAGGGTGACTGCTCCGATAGGGACATTTCCAAAGTGAAGTGGGCCAGCCCGCTCCATTTGCATACCAATACCCTCCTCCCGCTCCCCAAGGCTGTTCGAGCTGCTGCAGCCACAGCCAAGGGCTGGGCATGGGCCTGGGGCAGCACCCTTCCCAGCAGAGGGGCTGAGCCCCCCCTCTTGGACTCGTCTCACATAACAGCATTGCAGTCCCATCTACCCGCTACAGGGTGATGGGATGGGGCAAGGGCACAAGGAAGCAGCCAGGGCATAGCTGTCGATGTGTAATGAAAATGGCAGCAGGGAAAAAGACACCTGACAAACTGGGGTCAAGGGGAAAACTTACGGACTTCTAGTGGCATGCTTAACATTTTTTAAAAATCAAAATAAAGAAAAAAAATTTAGGGAAGAAAGCCTTTCGGGGAGCTTTTGTTCCATATTTTACTTGCAGATTTTCAATGTATGGAATAAATGTAAACTACAGCTGCTTACCAAACCTGAGTGACAGAATGACAATACGTTGTGAGCTATGTTAACAGTACATATGCATTTACCATATATGAGGAATGCATGTATATTCCATGCCTCAGACAGATTTTAACAGAAATGTCACTCTGTCAAATTGTAAATAGTCTCACTCATAAGACTGCAAATATATTAGGCAAAACTGGACTTAATTTACAAGTTCTCTGCTGTGCAGAATAACGCAGCATATGCTATAGCTGATGGATAATCTATCACTGTCACGGGACAGCAGTGGAAACAAAGCTTTATGACATTTAGCACTGCCACGGAGATGTACACTGATTAATGCGGAATCACCTACAATGACGAATTATACTTCTTTTAAACTGTAACGTTATCAATGAGATTTGTAAATACAAGCTACAGACTGAAATTTGAACATTTTACATAATTGGGCGATTTATAAAAACTGATTAAACACTAGCTCAAAAGGGAAATTAAACTGAAAAACTCCCACAAATGTATCATTTGCAGATACATATGTACAAACCATTAACATGATAAAAATGTTATGAATTATATTAAGGTAAAAGAGGCCCTTCCAAACAGCTACATAAAAGTCCTAGCACAGACACATAACTTTATATAGTTTCTGCTTGTTTTGGTATCTTAACTATAGCTTGCAAAAACATAGCTGCAATGTTATGAAGCTGCACTTGTGCCAGTCTAGATTTTTCAGATCAAAGGGTTCTTGCGGCAAAACACAACTGATGTGGTCTCAAAGACTTCATTAACTCCAGATGTGGGGAAACAGCCAGCCAATTCCACAAAAGGAGCAAGTCTCTTTTAGTTACAATCAGAACTACCCACAAATTAAAACCAGGCCTCTGATGTCATCTGATCACCTGCAGATGAGCACCAGGTTTTTTTTCTGGTTAATGACCTAATCATAATTTTTATGTTGCGTTACCACAAACAAAATCTTAAAGGAGAAAATTTACTAAGATTAACCTGAAGTCCATGAGATGCAAAATAGAAAGGTTTTAAACAAAAAAGTTGATAACAAAAAGATGAAATTTTATTTTTAAGCCAGAAAGCAACGTATCAGGGCAACTAGTCTGCTCACGCTGAAAGCCCTGCACGCACTAGGACCCCTCTCCAGCAAACGCAGCCTCGGTGGCTGCTGGCCCGCAGGAAGCTTGCAGGGCTGTGCAGCAGCTCCCCAGCCTGCGCCCTAGTTAAAGGGCTTTCTCTTCTGCAACAGCTGAGCAAGGCAGTTATAAATATGACGTGGCTGCTCACGACGGCCTCTTTTAGCTATTAAACTGATAACAGTGACATCCAGGAGGCATCAGACCAGTTTTTCCTGGCTGCCATTCCCACGAAGACAAGGAACACTGTTAAAAGGTCAGCCTGTCTGCACAGCCTACTCGAAGAGGGTTGTCTCCAGCAGGTAGCAGAGGAGCCCATCTTCTAATCCCCTTAAACGCACTGAGCCCGAAGGCATCGGATGCGTCTCCATGCTGACAAGCACAACACTCTCTGATTATGAATGGGAAATTCCCTTCCGATAAACGCACGCCAAAACCAGTTTTTTTACACGACTTACCAAGTGGCGGACCGGACTGTTTTGGAGCTGTGCTAGAATATCCATCAACCCTAACGCTGCAGTGCCTCTGAAAGGAAGGGGAGATGGCCTCCGCAGAGGGAAGCAGGACAAATGAGTTGCCAAGGACATCAAGTCAGAGACCGAGGTCTGTCTCTTCTGCACCCTGAGCTGGTTTATGTTTCTCCAGTGGGAAAGGCAGGATGACAACTTAGATCTTTCCTGAAACGTAGTTAGTGGTTGGAGCTGACTTCAGAACAGAGCCGACGAGGCATTATCTGTACTACATCACGCTTAAGCAAAACAAATGCATCATCCAGCCTGCCCTGGTGATTAACATACACAACGAACACTATCATGAAAGTTAAGCGGACCAAATATATCTGAAACACATCAAAGGACTACACAGTGCGCTTCTGTTTACTAATACAAGTGCCACTAACATGAACACTAATTTGAAGATCTGAGTTTACCAAATTTTATGCTAAGTAAAACTCCAAGCCTCATTCTAGAAATACATTTAATAAATCTAACAGAGTCCTCCTGTCGGCATACTTCCTCCCAGGCAATTTTCCTGTAATCTGATTAAAATTCTTAAGTATTTATCAATGTTTAATATTCATGTTAAAAGCAGATTAAAAAGCAGCAACGAAGCAACCAAACCTTACTTCTGATGAGCTCATGGTATCTCAAGACCAAAGCTCCCATCACGCATACGGTTTATGAAATTATGAATTATGTTACTCATTGAAACATAGTTATTAACAATTCTGTGAAGTTCAGGAAAATATTTATCAAGCTGTTGGAGACAGAATTTTTGGAAACCAGTAGAGATGGATAACCTATTCTGTAGCTTGTAAACTCTGCTAACTAGCCTATCTGCATTCCATCAGCATCAGTCATGCACTAAGCAAGTGCACGCTGATGAATGATTTGTACATGTGGCAAAATTTTACAGTGTATTATCTGCAGGTTTTGTGGCAAAACCTAATTCTGCTGAAAGGCAGCTCTGGGAGCAGGAAACTTGTTTTCATGTCTATTATATTTCTCACAAAATCATGTACTAAAACTTCAGGAATGTTGAACAGTAACTATAGTTTTCCATCCTTCTCTTTTCAGCAAGACAGAAGCTGCCAAAAAAAAAAAAAAAAAGGCAACTCTAAATTTTTGTTTGGTTGATATTTAAGCAAGATGATAAAATGAAGAGTCCCAGTATACAAGATCAGTATACTGTATCTTCAATCATACTTTCTGTTTCTAATACCAGGTGAAAAGGCTCATACATTTTAAAAAATCTTCTCACTGTCCAAAATGAAAATAAAACTTCTTTAAGAGAATGAAGCATCAGTCTTGTCTGCAAATCCAACTGTAATTTTTAAGGATGGTATAAAATTCATACTCCTCTACGTAGCCAAACTGAATGCCATCTTAAATAAATGTTTATGCAGGTCAGGCATGCTATACATGCCTATTTGGGTATTTCTGAAATGCAGAATCCCACTGCAATGACACACAGCACAAGTACTTCCTGGTCTCTTCCCCAGTAAATGCCATTTTTAAAGTCGTGCTAAAAAGTGACAGGCAAAGTTGCTAAAAATCCCAAATTCGGTATATGGAAACCT